ATAAACAAAGGCTGGTGCGCGCACCCAGACAACACACACATACACAGATAGAGAGAGAGCCGCAAAGCAACGCTGTTTATCGTGAACGTGAAGCGAAAGAATACGCATACGTCAGGTGGTACAAGCAAACGGCAAGCAAAAGCAGGTGCAGCTATATCTTTATCAATTTTCGCAATGAACACCAATAAAAATCACGTTGCGGTAAACAACAACAACAAGAACCACACTCTCAGCTAGGAAGCTGGGCGTGTCTCTGCCTCAGACCCGTCCAGAGTGCTGCGAAAGTCGTATTTATTCACCTGCCAAGCACCTGCACCCACTTTTATGAGCATGTTGTCAGCTTTGATTGCAGGCCCGAAAAATTGACTGATACGAACAAAAAATTGTGTATATCATTTTCAATTTTCTTTCGATTACTTTTAGATAAAATAGCCACACCGATAAACAATAGATAAATAATTTATGAACAATCGATTTTTATTTTGTTTTGCGCCTGGGCATATTTTAATTTAATTAGAATGTTGCATAGTCCATCGAGCACGATTCTAAATGTTATCTGTGCAAAAACAAACAAGACTATCTTTATGTTAGGTAATTAAATGTGCCAGCCACATCTATATGTTTAATCAGTGATAAAAATGGGTCAACACGCAGGGTTAGCATTTTAGAGAACGAAACCAGACTTGTTTTCTCTTTTACACACAATAAAATTAATTGCATTGATGGACTGACAAATACCATAGGCTATTAGGCATACAAAAGTTTATATTAAGTGCGAGAGTATATGGAAATAGCATGCTCTGTTGCTCTGGAGTGTACAGGGTGCAGCAATCAACTGTTTATTAATATGTTTGTGGGCAATCAATAAGTGTTTCAATTGATATGTTTGATATCATTTATATTGATGGTCTTTTAAATGGCCATCCAGACAAATTGATCGAATAAATTTCCAATTGAATTGTGCTCAGCTGCTGATGGGAGTAATACCCAAATGACAACCTAAGCTAAGAGCTTGGCGCCACGCCCCGAATTGATATACATTTAATATACTCTAAATGATTTCACAAATATTTATAAAACTTACAGAGACGCTCGAGATCTGAAGAAGAAGCTTTAATATTTACGTGTCAATTGAATTAAATACAAACTAATTAAAGTAAATTTTGGCTATAAAACTCAGTCGCTGAAGCGTAAACTTGTGAAAAACACACATCGGCAAACATACACACACATGATGACTTTGATATATTTAGTCTGCGTTTAAAGAGTCTTCTTATAGCAAAGACCAGTTTGTCGGCATGCTAAGTGCCTAAATAAAATGTTATTTATTTTATAGCATGCGATGCATTAAAAATTTGCAAACTTCAATAATGCCACGCTTGGTTTCGGTATGTAAAAATGTCGCGACTGCAAATAGAACGAGTTAGAGTTTTCAAGACGCTAGGGCCCGACTAGTGGATACCCTAAACCTACTTCTTCCAACGTTGTGCTGCGCGAGGACATGGATGATCTACGTTGTACATTTGAGGTCTTTAGCTCTAATTCACAAATAGGGTAAGACGGAGGGACAGATAGTCGAACAGACAGAAGTCCATGGCTAGATTGACTAGACTTTTGATACTGATCAAGAATTTCTAAACTTTATCGGGTCGGAGATGCTTCCATCTGTCTCTTACATACTCTTGCACAAAACCAAAATACCCTTTCAACCAATTTTTATTATGGTTCAGGGAACCCCCTCATTCTCGCTTACTAATTGATGAATTTAACAAATATATATTCTGGGATATTTAGGTTTCATCCTTTCAAAAATTAGCAATTCCTTTATATATATTCTTTTTACTTACGTGACATGTAATGGTTTCTCTGGCTTGCGATTGCTCCGTTCTCATCGATCAGTTCTGGAAGTGCTTGCATCATTATGGCCCTGTTCGTCAAACGCATTAAATGAATTGCAGTTATCCGTGAATTCCGCTTGAAAGCAGATCGCAAAATATTAACGAGCTTCTCGAATTGATTTATGCGCAATAAATTACGTGCCCTCCCACAACCGGATCTGCATGTTTGCCTCCTGCTGCTGCTGCTAGAATCAAAATAAAGTGTGATATGATAATGATTTAAATCATTTATAGTCTGCGTTACTCTGGTGCCTGGCACGTGCCATTGATAACACATGTTAACTGGCTGTGAATTTGATTAGCTGTTACCATGGGGAAGTGTGTGGCCCGTTTGCGATTCTGCAAAGGATGGACGATTGTTTATCACTGCTCCGTTAACAATTTGTCTTTGTGTTATGCATTCTAATAGGTTTGTTTAATTGGCAAGCAAAACATTTCAATGCCAAACTTTTATTAATTTCGATCATTTTTCTTTTTCTTCTGAACTTTGTACGGATTTTAAGTGATTTGCACTCCCTACCGACTGCGGGCACGTGGCACTTTTTTATTAAATCAACTTCATGCACGCCCAACTCGCATAGGTGCTAATTGGGTAAGCATGCCGTTTGAACACCTTTTAAAAATTGTTCACAGCTAGAAAAGTGTATAAAGACAAAAGCGAGCTGGGCTAATTAATACAAAATTTTATTTAAAGCATAAAAAGTGTTTTATTTCTGCTATAAATTGAGTTGATTTTTAAGGTACCATCGTTAAAAATGGTTTGAGATGTGGGTAAAATGGAAGGCAGTATGAGGCAGCTTTCAGCCTTTTGACAGTATATTCAGGAGGCGACTTTATTTAAGCAAGTTTTGCAGTTGGCCTAGAAACTATTCCAGGTATTTACAAGTCAGTAATTGGCTCTGCCAACTGAGTGACAGCATTCTACACCAACGCTGGCAATTCTCTAATGAGACTCGAGTGTTTAATGAGTTTCTACTGTCACTTAAACTGTCCAACTTGGAAAACTTTCTTGTTTTTTTGGCAGACAGCTGTCGACAATCAGTATGTGCAATTAACCAATGGAATTTTCATATTTTTGGCTGCTTTTGACTATGAAAATGCTTTACAAATTTATAAAAAATAATTTTTTTTTGAATGGGTAAGCAAAAAGTCAGCTAACTGAATTGCAAATGGCTTGTATACAATTATGGTGTTTATATTAAACCACGACACTTAAGCCGCCTTGTGAGCAGCACTTTAAGCAGAAAACCCTCAGAAATGTTGGCCAAGACTTTCGCAGACGCAAATTTTGTGGCTGCAGTCAAATTTATGAAGTGTTATGAAAAGTTTAAGACATTTAGCTGCAGGCCAAAAACTTTTAGCTGGCAATAGCGTCTGAATAAGCAATTCCCCTAGCCGGGCAGGACTCGATGGGTTGCTGTTAAGTACATGAAAAGAGCTGCTTAAGCTCTTAAAGTCCCGTCAACTCTTGGGCTCACAAGTTTTACTGGTCTGCATCGGCTTAGCACTTGTCGTTAAGGAGCAGTTGCATAATTGCGATTGCATTTTTAGCGCATTAACAAGAATTTAGCTTACATTTACGAGGGCAGCAATAAAATTATGCCAGACAAATATTTACACTTGTTGCCGCTGAGCAAACAGCCGTTTGCCCAATAATCCAACAACAAATTTTCATGTGCATTAATCTGGCTAAATTGTTGTTGTTGTTGTTGTTTTTGTTGGCGCCTAATTAAAACGTTGTTAACATTAGATTTCAACGCGTGACGACGTTAATGCCGCTCGCCAAAATAAATAATTCCATTTCTTTATCATTTTATTTATTGTACTCGCGGCAAGCACGCGCTCTGCGCACTGTCAATGTTTTAATTATTTCTATTTGCCTTAAATGTGCGAGGGGCTGATGCCAAAAAAAAAAAAAAAAAAAAAAAAAAAACGAAGAAGAAAAACATTTTCTATAAACAACAACGAGCATGGCAACAACAATAATAAAAATCATTACAGCGGCAGCATTGCGTATGCGCAATATTTTTGCTTAGTTCCAGTTGATCATAATTTTACTGCAGCAGTGGAAAAAAAGTGCGATTTCGGCCTCTTTTTTATGACCACATAAATGTTTTAAACAATTTAGCGATAAATAAAATTCCGCACAGCATACATACCGTTTTCTTCACATAATTTTTTTATGGGCGCCGCGGAAGGAAGCGTCGCATTCACTGAATGGAACCAGTTGGCGGCGGCAAGTAAATTTGCGCATTGATAGATTAAAGAGTTGATCGCGCCGTGGAATATTTTCTCGGGCATAATTCCTCTAGTTTTAATTGCTGTCATATGATGCGTAATTGTTGTATATTGACTTTGGCTCAGCTTAAACATAGGAAAAAATTCAAATGAACACCAAAGGTTTCTTTGTTATTTAGAAATTTCAGAAAAGTTTTCCTATATATCTGCTGAGGAATGTAAAATATGTTTTTGTATGTACGCTTAAGCTTTTAATGCTGCTGTTGTGCATTGGCAAATAAAAAGCTTAAGAGTCTATAAATAGGTAGACTTTATGATAGTCGGAGAGCATGTACATATAAATATACATGTACATAATTAGTTAGAGTTTATGATAGTCATCTGACTATCATACATATATATTCTATCTAGAATATACATATCTAGTTTAACTTACTAACTTACCTTAAAGTATGTAGGTAAAGCTGAAGCCTCAAAGCGTGACCAAATAGTTGAGTTGACCTTCAAATCTGCTTAAGTTATGCAGATAACACATCAAACGCTCTTCATTTTTATTTACATATGTGAGATATATTTTATTTTATAACAAGAAAAATGATTTTGGCTTATCAACAAGAGACTTAAAATTGTCAACACCCGTTGCTTAAGGCCAAAATAAAAGAAAATGAAACTGAAAGTGGAAATTCGTGGGGAAAAACACGCTTCGCTGCATTTTGTTTACATTGCCCCCACTATGCAGCTTGCCACAGCCCGACGAGACAAAAGAATGAAAACACAAACATGACTTTACTTTAAGCTAAGACGCAAGCGTAGCCGCCGCCGCTGCCACAGCAGCTGCTTTATCTTATTATTATTATTATTTATTATCATTTTTCTTGTTTGTTTCTATTTTTTTCTTTGTTGGTGTGTTAATGTGTGCGTCAAATTTGGCATGAGAAGAGGCACGCGTTCCAAAGTGCTGAATGCAGTCGGTTAAAGTTGAAAGCGGGCAATGCGGGCGACGTTTACAGTTTTGGTGTTGCAGTAAAGTGCATGTTACGCTTTAGGAGGAGGGGGGATGCTATTACGGTTGCTGCCGCTTGTTGTTATTGTAGTTGTTGTAGCTGCTTGCTGACGCATAACAGTTGCTTAAGTTCTTAGCGGGTGTCTCTGTCTCTGACCCACTGCTGCTGGCGCGCCTAGCCGTATGTCTGTCGTACTGCGGAATATGTAAGAGTGAGAGAAAAAACAATGCATATGTTTTATTTTAACAGAAGTTGGCAACGCGAGCAATGACGAAAAACATGGCATACTTTTGGGCACCCGTGGATATTGCACGCCTTGTGCTTGGCATGTAAATGACATGACCGAGACAAGATGATTAAGACAAACAATTACCACACATTAAGCCCAGTTGCACACAAAAGCACATAATTATATGCACCCCCGAGGGGGATTGCATATGACACCACACAGAATGACACATTACAGCGTGCAATTGGGCGTAACCCAGCACCGATTACAATTTCATCATTTGCCGTTTGATGTGACTGAAAAGAGAACTGACAGCGGGCTATAGAATATTTTGTTAGATTATTAAAATGCTGCTTAAATTAAATTAGTAGACATTAGAGTTTTATTGCTAGTTGATTAGCATTAAGCACACGTTATATACAAAGCAGGGCAATAACAACAACAAACACAACAACAACAATAACAACCAGGCAAAAGCATTAGTCATAGCCACGATACCCGCCATAGTTGCTGCGATCACGATAGTAATCGCGCTCCCTGGCCGGCGGCAGACCAAAGCGATCGGTGTCCTGGTAATAACCATAGCCACGATAACGCTGGCCGCTATACTCTGGCTGCCAATAGCCCGCATATTGTCTTAAGCCGCCATTACCTCCATAGCCGCCGTAGCCTGCAGTGCCTAGTATATTGGTCGTCGGATAGTAGCCGCTGCTGGGATAGTAGCCGCTGCCTCCAGTGCTGGGATAATAGCTTCCGCCCGTGCTGGGATAGTAGCCACTGCCGCCCGTGTTGCCATAGTAGCCGCTGCCGCCATTGTATGAATTGCCGGGATAATAGCCAGTGCTGGGATAGTAGCCATTGTTGGGTCTATTGTAATAGCCAGTGTTGTATCCATAGTTGGGATAGTTGTAGCCATAGTTCGGATAACCAGAACCCTGTCCAAGTAAACCGCCCAAGTTCAACACTTAAGGGCGCGCCACGAAAAGTTTCAGGTAAAGCCAATAATATATGTATAGTCGCTTACGTTTGGCTGAGGTTTCAGCAGTGGCCAAATCACTCGCCTTGGCATCCTGTGCCGCCGGCAATGGCTCAGCCCAGGCCACAACGCACACGAGCAGCTACGTTTCGACAAATATGTGTGTGTATGTAATACACTTTTTCGATTAACTGAGTTCTTTTTGTTGTTTTTTTTTAATACTCACTAAAAGCGGCAAACACTTGGCATACATGTTGAAAGGTACTTTTTGACAAATCGTATAAACTGCAAATGGAAAAGCTACGTTTGACAGCGGGACCGTAGAACGCGCGAAGAGACAACTGCTTGAGACAACGCTTGTACGTTAAATAATTCTGTTTCCCAGACGGGGGGCCAATTTATATTTTTCATTTTCCGGCTGAGTTGCTGCGCTCAAGTCGACGCAGACGTCAACGTCGCCGAAACAAACAAACCGAAACAATAATAAAGCTTGGCCCCAGCACCAAGTCGCACTTCGAAGACCAGCTAAAACGTGCGGCTACGTTAATTTTATTACTCATACGACACGTAAAGCAAGTGCGGCCCCAAAAAAGAAACAGAAAATCTTCAAAAGCTGTTACGTTTTCAGGGCTGACAGCGAGCTATGAAACTAAAACGATATTTTCCTTAACTGAAAAATTAAAAGCAAATCAAAAATACAATTATTTGTAAGCTCAGATATATTGTGATTAAATACAAAATATTTCTAGCTATAAACTGTGCCCGCCAAGTCATGTTTTCTTTCTAATTCATGTGAATTATGCCTTGTTTAACCTCAAATTAAACTATACTTACGACCTTTTGGCTGTGCGATTATGTATTATTATTAATATTTGTCTCGGGCACAGGTGACAAAATAAATGCCTCATTTTGGCTGTCTCTTGTCGCTTGTTTGTTGCCAGTGCGTGAGTTTAATTTTAGATATTTGCGCTTTAAACTTTGACAAACACAAACAGACGAAACGCTGGAAATCGTTTTGTTTAACTTGGTTCACACAGATCGCTTTCTTTCATGTGGACCGACGGCAGTTTTTTTTTAGGAGAACTTCAGACGATATGCAAGTACCCATATTGTTTGCATACTATATCTTTAATTCCAATTATCCACACACACACACACACAGAGACAAATCTGCGGCAGGGGCCAAAAACTTGCGCCGCGTATGCAAATATTTGCCAGCAATTCTTGTATTTTTTTTCTCAATTTTTTCTTTGTTGCCACTCTGCTAACGGCTTTTGTTGCCATAGGGCGAGCCGAAAAATAATAGCCGAAAACTTCATAAGATCCCAAAGCGCCTGAGCCCATGCATTTAAAATTCATTCAGGTAACGCTCAACGTTGAGGTGTGGCGACTAATTGGGCAATTTTGATAGAAGTGCGCAGGATATAACCGACAGGAAGTGTCACGCGCTGAGAATAGCTGCTGCTATTTGGCGACCAAAAAAATTTATATATATCCAATCCAATTTCGTATGCTGCTGCAACGCATATCTGGTTTGCCCTTATGCCAAGTTCAATAGGCCGGCTTCAGCTTATGCCTACTTTGTCTTATATCTTGGCGTATATACATAACCTCCATGCATATCTTTTTTAACACTAGCGAAACGTGTGAACAATATTTGGGCTTGTGCGATGCGGGAATTACAAATTTTCAATATTGACTTGACACAGTCGTAAAATATAAAATACAAAACTGGGTTACGTAGCCATTATTCAAGGTGAACAGAATGCATAGACATAATACAAATTGGTTCCCTTAAACGTATCTTAAAGGTTTTCCCACATTATGTAAGAGGTATTACTAAAAGTCGGATATATCAAACAGAATTGAAACGAAATAAAAAGGCCTTTTATGAACTTACAGCGAAAGTTAATAAAAGGAAGACTTTTCATTGGACTTTAATCAACTTGTTTTCAATTTACTTTGAATGCCAATTGATTTTTGAACCGGTCTTAAATTTGTTTATTGCCCAAGGCAGCCAAAAACATATATATGTTTCCTCTTAGCATATTTAAATAAGTGCTTTTATTGGTTGTAAGAATTTTATGCACAACGAACCGCTGTAAAAACAACAAGGAACACAGCTCTCCGCAGCTGACAGAATATAAAATACGCTCGCAAGCATTTTTATTTTATTTAATAAAAAATTGAAACATTATTTAATATACCCTTTGTTAGGGTATCGCAAGTCGAAGCTGAAGCCCGAAAAGTTGTTCAGGTTATGCAAAACCAACCATTGTTAACATAATTTATTTAAATTTGTAAGAAAAAAGTAATTTTCAAAATTTTTGTTTATTCTCAGTAATTGTTGTACGAGGCAAAAGAATGTACGTCTACGTCTGGCTCAGAGTCCAGCTCTTTGGCAAAGAGGTCTTGCGTCTATTGCAGTTAGTTAATTTATTCATTGCATACTTTATGGCGCGGTGTAAATAATATTTGGTGGCTTCCCATGAAAGAATGGGGCAAATAAATTTAATCATTGATTTTTCTTACATTTTATTTAATTTCATAATTTCTGTTTAGACATAACAATTCATTTCTCCGTTTCAAGCATTTTAAGTATAGAAATTAAATACACTATTAACTAAAATCTAAAGAAAGTGAACAAAATACAGATTAATACATTGAAATACAAAAATGCATAATAAACAACATGTCACAAACAATTTAAATTCCCACATCGTTTTTCATAGTTTTTTTTTTCTGTCTTTTTAGCCACATGTGCAAAATGCATACGAAAAACATTTAAGAAAATGATTTATCAGAGGAAGTTAGAGTCTTAGTTGACAGGAAGCTTGGAGTGCATTTCGAGTATTACGAGTACAAAAACAAAAGCAAAATTATTATTTTTTTAAAGAAAAATAAAAGAACACATTCAACGGCAGTTATAAACTTTTTTTCTAGTTTCTTTCCTTTTTTTTCATTTTTTTATCCTTTCCTGGCTGAGAGTATTCTCGTTAATAAAAACACTTAGACTAAAGCTGGTTAACTGGCAATTGGGTTAGTTGAGGTGCTGCGGGTTGGGGAGTTGTGCAGGGCTTTCGGCAGTGCTGGGAGCTGGGGATTGTGAGCGGGAACTGGGATTTTGGGTACTTTCGGTGACGTCCAGACGTCAATTGTGCTGTCTAGGTCGTCGTCGGCTCTTAGCTTTGACTTGCAGTTCCAGCAACGGCTGCCTCAGCCTTATCCTCTACAGGCGCAGCAGCTTTGGCAACGGGTGCCTCAACCTTGATCTCAACGGGCGTGGCAGCTTCAGCTACAGGTGCCTCAGCCTTGTCATCTACAGGCGCAGCAGCTTTGGCAACGGGTGCCTCAACCTTGGTCTCGACGGGCGTGTTAGCTTCAGCAACAGGTGCCTCAGCCTTGTCCTCTACAGGTGTGGCAGCTTTGGCAACGGGTGCCTCAACCTTGCTCTCGACGGGTGTGGTAGCTTCAGCAACAGGTGCCTCAACCTTCACTTCTGCAGGCGCTACAGTCTCCTCAACAGCCGCTTTCGCCAGGACAGCATCGTCAGCCTTAGTCTCGCGTTTTTTGTGGTATCTATCCAGATTCTGTGTGCAGGAGCATGGGCACATGCATTGATCCTTCGGTCCGGCGCCGGCGAGAATCGAGTGTACACTGAAGCTATTCGGTATGGAGGCTGGCTGTACGCCCAGCGGGAAAGGATCAATACTCTGATATTTGTTGGCCGTCTTAATGGTGTTCTCATCGCAGTTGGCGTAGTACTCTTGTGGCAGTATGACCACGGGCATGAAGGCGATCACAGCACCCTTAGGTATCTTGTCGGGTGGATAGAAGGCCGGCTGGCCAGGTGCCTGCGGCACGACGGGCAATTGAGTTAGTGACATGGCGTTCATTATGCTGCCGAAATTCGTGTTTCCATTGAAGCCGTTGAATTGTTTGTTAAAGTCGACCGAGGCCGGATTTGAGTTGGGATAGGTTGTGGAGGAGGTATAGGTTGTTTTTGATGAGTGCGTCTTATCGGCATTACAAACGCAGGTTTCGCTGTTTGGCGTATACGACGGCACATGCAAAGGGGGAGAGGGACGTGGAGTTACATTCTTGTTGATGGGCTTGGGTTCAACGTAAATGGTTTTCGTCGGTTTCGGTTCGGTCGGGTAAATGGGTGGTCTGTACGTCGGTGCTGGCTCAAATGGCCTCGGCGTCGATGGCTTGTATGCCGGTACATTGATCGTGGTTCGTATTGGTTCGATCGGAGCCGCCGGCGTCGGCTGTGGATTGTATGTGTTGACAAAGTGTGGCTGTTCTGGCTGTATCGGTCTATATGGTTTGGGTGCGGGTGTGGGTACTGGTGCGGGTGCGGGTACGATTGGTACTGTCTTATGGATATCAAAATTACCCGTTGTTACAGTTGTTGTAATGCCTTTTACTGGTCTATCCGTATTAATAGTGATAGCCGGGACCTTTGGCTGTGTTATCGTCGTCGTCGTTATTGTTTTGGTTGGCGGTCGTGGTGTGGGATTCGCAGGAACATGGATAGGAACGGTATTTGGGAAAGAAGGTGGAATATAGGTTAGTGGTGTTTTAGTTGACGACACTTTCTTAATCACAGAATTATCGTAATTATCGTAATTTGGCTTGAAAGTTGGTGGCTTATTTGTCGGTTCTTTGACTAGTGAAAGGGATGGGGGTGGTACGATTTTACCCGGTTGATTTGGCGGCAGGTAGCCAGGTGTCTCCTTGTCCGAATGCCTGGGATCGTTCGGCTTGTATGTTGGGCCTAGAAAGTGCGAAAATATAAAAAATGTCTTTAATTGTACATAAACAACTAGGGTTAGTTCTACTAACCGGGTGGTCCGGGACGAGTTGGGCCGGGTGGGCCAGGAGGGCCTGGTGGTCCGGGACGTGTTGGGCCGTAAGGACCTGGTGGTCCTGGTGGGCCCAGCTCAGCGTGTCCTCCATTGGCTGGTGGTCCTGGGGGTCCGGGTGGGCCTGATACAGATATTTCGCGATTAGTATTAAAAACATACAGCTAGTATAAATCAATCTTGTTTACCGCCTGGTCCCTTGGGTCCTGGACGATCGGGTCCATTAGGTCCTGGTGGTCCTATATCGCAAGAAACCGCGTTTAATTTATACCATTACCCAAAACCCAAAACATTGTGGTTTTTATTAATTAAGCTTAACTTAAACGTACCTGGTGGTCCAGGTGGGCCGGGTGGTCCCTTGGGTCCCTTTGGTCCTGAAATAAGGTAATCGCAAAAATGTAAGATTCACTCTAATACTTGGAAAATGCCTCCAGCTTACCGCCAGGTCCATTGGGTCCGCCGGGTCCGTTTGGTCCACCGGGTCCGTTGGGACCAAATCCTCCAGTACCGCCACCATCGCCATTGCCTCCGTTGCCGCCATAGCCGCCCTCGGGTCCGACTACATGCACATATGGTGGAGCTGGAGGTCCAGTGGGGCCTTCAACATGTACATATTTGCCAGAATCATCGTGATAGTATTTTCCATCGTTAATACCTAGATCAAGTAATTGACGCGTTAACAAAAAATCCGACAGATCCTATAAATCTCGCCTTACCATTATAACTTCCGCTTCTAGGGTTATTATATTTACCGGCTCCTATAGGGAATAGAGAGTAATGTGATGCAAAGCATACGATTATTAAACTTGTAAGGATATGTATAAAGAGATCGGCTGATTTTCCACTCGAACTACGTATACATAGTTTAACTACGAACTAACTACGAATTACAGTGCGTACATAGTGCTACGTACACGGGTAGGTGCTACAAGGAACATTTTGATAGACCTACATATAACTTACAACTACGGGGGATTTGCTAAGTTACCAAACACCAATACAAACATCATGCGTTGGGTAATCAGCTTGATACGGTTAAACCAAATTTCAAAATAAACCAAAATACCAAAAAATTAGTTAGTTAATCAATAACCCGTTAGTAATATTGCTCAAGCAGTTTTGTATGTGGGCGTGTCAATGTGCAGTGTAAAAAAAAATTATACAAATGTGCCAAGGCATCCAAAAAGTGAGTGATACGCATGTTTGCATGTGTGCATGTTTGCATGTGTGCATGTGTGCATGTCTGCATGTGTGCCTGTTTACATGAGTGCATGTGTGCAAGTGTGTGGAAGCGTGCGCTTCCTGAGTAAAAGATGTATAGTTCTCGTGCATGAACGCATGAGTAAGAAAGTAACTGAAAAGTAACTTGTGAAAAATATGTGAAGGTGCATAGTCTCTCAGCCAAATGCTGAACTGAGATACAAAACAGAAAACGATGATATAAAGAAAACAGAAATAATAATTGGCTTTGCCTTTGATCAAAAACCGATTTGGTCTTTGATAGCAGATGGAAAAGATGGATACAGTACAGAGACAGAGATATATATAAATAAACAGAGAGTGAGAGAGAAAGAGAGAGGGAGAGAGACAGAGGAAGAGGTAGAGATAGATATAGAGAGATTTATTGCTTGATTGTGCGCTCTTAGCAAAAGTGCTCTAATAACGATAAAGATAACTATGTGGGGGGTTTGGGAGGTGCCCTAAAGTTGCCCTGCTGTGTGGTGTGTGCCTGAGTATTTAAGATTTGTGTGTTTTTGAAATAATAACAAGAGGTGTGTAACAGATATTAAATTGGTTTCAGAGTTTCTTGGCTGAAAATAAAAACAAGACTGCTTAAAATAAATCATAAATAAATGTACATTAGCATAATATAGGCATACGATATATAATTTAAATGAAACTTAGAGCTAGGCCAGCAAAGCAGCGTAAAATTTGAACAAACCGCTTGCGTATGGGGCAGCAAATTAAATAAAAATATAAAAAAAATAGAGAAAGAAATATACCTGTCAATTGATTTACTTTAGTGGAGACCCCCCAATAACCGCTCAGCGGCTCGTTCAAATTTTGATTTTGTCTGTGCGGCGGCGCAATTACAAATCTCAATTGATCTAACCTGAAGTGTATTTGATGGCCCCAGGAAAACCGGTATTTGTGTCTGGAGTGTAGGCACCATTATTGCCGGGCTGGTTGCCGTTATAGCCGCCATTACCGCTGCCCGGGCGGCCACCAACGCCGGTGCCAGTATTGTAACCGACGCCTGGACGGTTGCCATCACCGGCACCTGTATTGTAACCGGCGCCTGGACGGTTGCCATCACCGGCACCTGTATTGTAACCGGCGCCTGGACGGTTGCCATCACCGGCACCTGGTTGGTTGGCATCACCGTCACCGATATTGCCACCACTGCCAGGGCGATATTGGCCAGCACCGCCCAGAGGGCCAGGACCGGTGGCATCACCGCCGCCAACACCGGAGCCTTTGCCGGGAGGATAGACGCCAACACCGCCAGGGCCGGAGCCGCTGGCGGTGTGGTAAGCGCCACCATCACCAGATCCGGTACCAGTGCCAGGACGGTATTTGCCACCATCACCTTGGCCGGAACCATTGCCGGTTTGGTATCTGTCACCGCGACCAGCGCCGGAACCGGTGCCGGTTTGGTATCTGTCACCGCCACCAGCGCCGGAACCGGTGCCGGTTTGGTATCTGTCACCGCCACCAGCGCCGGAACCGGTGCCGGTTTGGTATTTGTCACCGCCACCGACACCGAAACCGCCGCCCGGGCCTGTGGCATCTCCACCACCGATATTGTTGCCAGCACCGCTGCCAGTGCGATCGCCATCCCTATATACCGGTTTTCCTGAGGCTCCTGATCCCTCGCCGACTGGTCCCGGAGGTCCTGGTGGTCCGGGTGGTCCTTTGGGTCCAGGTGGGCCGTTGGGCCCATTGGGTCCATTGGGTCCGTTGGGACCGGGAGGACCGTTCGGTCCGAATCCTCCATTTGGTCCGAAGCCACCATTAGGTCCGAGGCCACCGTTTGGACCGTTGGGTCCGCCATTGGGACCGAAACCTCCATTCGGACCAATTGGTCCTCCGTTGGGACCGAAACCGCCATTCGGGCCGATTGGTCCTCCATTGGGGCCAAACCCGCCCTGGGGACCCACAATATGCTGATAGCGATTATCTTCTGGATTGTACTTTCCATCATCTGAAACACAAAGATTTGAATCCGCCACAACACCGCGTGTTCCAGACAAAAGCTCACTGCCGGGTCTAAGAGATGCCACCGAATGGAAGGACGGAGCCTGAACGCCAGGTCCCTCGTTTGTGTGTCCTTCGTTTGTGTTGAACAGGCCCTTCGGTCCCTGCTTGTGAATGGGCAAACTCTTCTGGCCCTCACCCTTCAGTACAGGTATGTTAAACGAGGAGAGCGATGAGCCAGATGTGCCACTGCCCTTGTTCTTGTTCTAGAAATACGATCGCACATAAGTAGCTATCCGGATGATCTCACTGCGTCTTCTTACATCATCCACAACGAAATAGGGTATATCATGGATGGCACCGCCCTCAAACTTGCCGCAGCCAATGGGAAAGTAGAGTTCGTGCCACTGCAGCAGGATGCCAGGCTTGGACGGTCCGCCGTTCGTCTCATTATACAGACCGGGCGGGAAGGTCTCCACTGGTTTCTCCGGCTCCACGGTGCGGTAGCCATGCACATCGGCCACATAGTGTGTGGCGCGCAGCAGATGATAGGGATCGATCAGACCATAACAGCCATAGGTGACGCCATCAGGGCCACGCGTCTCGTGATGGAAGTTTCCAGTCTTACCGACATCGTAGCCATAACGATAGGCGTCTGAAGTATTTTATGGTCGTTGTTGTTGTTGTTGTTGTGTTGGATTGGATAAGGTTTTTGGTTCGGTTTGGTTTTGTATTTTTGTTGGAGGGGGTTTTTGTTGAAAGATAATGTTTTTTTAGAGTATAACGTTTTGTTGTTGTTGTGATGGAGAGTTTGAGTTGGCTGAAAATTGTGCTGTGAAGTTTGCTGTAGAAGTTTGCTGCACCTACTCTAAAACTGCCTAACATCAATTTATATAGCCTGCTTCTGGGCGCTGTAACTGTAAGAGTTGAGGGTATGCCTACATTTCGTACATATGAAGTTGAAGAGAAGAGAGAGCGAGAAAATGTCTTGTGTTGTTTTCTTGTGTGTTGTTTGTTTTTATTGTAATTGGCTGTATATATATATTTTTTTGGTTTGATTGTGTGGGGTAGGTTTTGGGCATAATATTGGATAATGGCGAGGAGAGTATGAGTATGCGAAGCCTTTTTAATTTTTTTGTATTTTATGTATAACTTTTTCCACTAAGAACAAAATAAATACATAAAAAATATATAGAAATATATATATATATATATAAGAGAGAGAGAGAGTGTGTGTATGTGTGTGTGAAAGAGAGAGATAGAGAGATTAGAGCGCAAAAGAGAGGATAGATAGAAGATAGAGCGATTTTGTTGTTGATTTTTGAGCATATATACAATTTGACTACGATTTCTACGGTGAGTTTAGTAAAGCTGAGCTACAAGGGTAAAAAATAGTAAATTATAAAAAAGACTACGATAGATAGTTTGTTGTTGTTGTTGTTGATTGTTTGTTGTTGTTGTTGTTTCGTTTGGTTTTCGATTTCGGGGTATTAATGTGTAAGTTTTGATCGAAACTGCTGAAGTTGGTGGTTTGGGGGCGGGTAGGGACAAGACGATAACTTAAATCTACTCAATAATACAAGAATAATATAATTTGGGCAACTACTTAAAAACAAACAAATTACAAAATACAAATCGAGCTACTTGGTAAAAATACGATTAACGAGTTACAGGGCGAAACGATGTACACAAAAACTAACAAACTGTATGAATGGTTGTTTTTTTTTTTTTTGCAAATAGATTTAGTCGTAATGATATAGATTGGATACGATGATACAAATTTCAAACTAATATATTACAATTTCAATGTGTGGGAAATACAAATTTTGATATAGTTTCAGAATTCTTTTGTTTTTTTTTTTCAGTTTTGATGTTTTCAATGTGATTAAGCGTATGTGTTAAATTGATAAACGTCATTACTTACTTGTGTCAAAGTTTGACGAATAATATTGTTGGTTCGTTGTCTTTTGATCATTGATATCGACAATCAGACGTCGATTCTCTGCATCAAATTTGGCAGAGTAAACGCATTGCAACCAAATGCAAGCGACGACCTGCAAATGAAGGGTAAAATAAGTATTATATAATTTGGTAAGATATAACAGACATATCAATAGCCTAATGAGCAGCTGTCAAGTGGCAATAGTGGCATGATAAATGTGAACGCCTTATTGTCAGTGCAATGCCATGCAAGACACGCCCACAACTTTTGCTTTTAACACACAGATTTTTGTCTCTGTGGCATATTGACTTAATTTACATAGACCACAGCGAGCGTGTGAGATGACTCAAACAAAGATGCCTCAGTCAAAGCAGTTAGTCTGAGAGCTGAGCTTGGCACTGGCTTTTGTTGTTTCTGTATTCAAATCAGCAACCATTTAGATCCGGTTCGATACGTTTAGGTTGCAAAATTAAAGCAACCAAATAATGCCCAAAATGCCGCTCATATAGGCAGGCAAAATGTCAAAGGCGTTAAATATATATATAAATGGGTATGAGTATTTAGTCGAATTCTTGTTTTCAGTCAAGTTTTGCCCGTCAAGCGTCAGAAAGATGACAATCTTTTTGTTGAACTGGAATTGTGGTGCTTTTAGCTGCACCTACTAAGTCAATTTTGTGCGCATTTGTCGCAGCAAATTGCTGCCACGCTGCATGAGCGCACGTAGATACATTTGTATCTTTTAGCCGCTTGCGCATCCGTCAGCTACGCATAGTCAGCGAAAAATGTCAGCGCCAGCAAACCAGTTGATTTTACAAGCTCTGCTGACAGCTATGCTCAATTAGCTTAGATATTAATGCACTGTACGACATATAGAATGACAGCCAAATCAATGTAAATTGAATTGCCTTTATTTCAAGAGGAAGAGAGAGGCTGTCTGCGTTGATTTTGCAAGACTTATGCCCACTCACTTTTTACCCAAAAACCCAAATTGAAAATAACCTGAAAACACGTATCTTTCCTGCGTATCTACGAAAATGAAAATTTACATATTTTTAATCACATTGTACATAACTTAACTCGAGTTCCGGCAATGCTCAACAAAAAAAAAACTTCCTTATAAAGAAACCAGTTCCATAGTATTATAATGTTGAACAAAAATCTAGATACTAATATAGTAGAATTCATTGAGCAATAATTCTTAAATATGTATGTCTCTTAATAGACACTACTCGAGGCTACCAAGAGCTACAAAATTTGGAGACTGACCTTCGCACTAAGCTAAATAATTTATCAGTTTTTACACGTGTTTTTTTTTCTTTTTGATGAATTTATTAGGTAATTTGTTTATTTGTTTAACTGTTTTCTATTATCTTTTACTACAAATTTGTATCTGCCATTTTATACAAAATAAATCGACAATTTCTGGGCGCGACTTGGGTGCGTTTGGGTTAAGGTTACCAGAAAAGAAAACTGAGAAATAAAATATGAAATATGTACAGAAAACAAAGATATAAATTGGTAACTAAAGCTAAATGCAGCTGTAAAAATGCAACTAATACAGTTTTTATTATTTATTTATAAATTATGGTTATTAATAATCCTCAAGCGTGGACAATCACGTTTAATTGTCAGACTTAATGCCCATAAAATTAATGCCAATGAGCCAAAAATTTGAAATGCGATAAGGTCAATAATTTGATATAGCCAAGCTTATATCAATATCGAACTGAATATGCTTTGCAGCTCACGTCAATACAATGAAAAGCAAAAACGAAACCATTTGAAGGAGGCTGAACTCGATCCGGTCGACGCACACTCAAAGCCTGAGCACCAGCTAAAACACACACACAAGAGCCAATGGAATCTCATTAATGCAAATTTGTTTTAATGGCCGAGCCAACGAGGCTGGAAACTGAGTTGTAGCTAAATTTTAAGATTCCGATTGTTGCAAAATTCTTTGACAATCAATTCATAAACATTTATGCAGCTGATGCTGGCTATCAAGGTGACGGCTACCTGTACGCCTGCTCCAAAATCTCCACAAATCAAAATAATCATTTTTTATAGTTTTTTTATTTTTAATTTGTGTTCATTTATTGCAGCTGCTGACAACGGAGGTCATCGTGTCACCCACATATCTAGCGGCAACTTTAACGGTTTCTGTTTTGACTACAATTTCTTTGATGGGGCATCACTGTCCGTCGCTCTTCCTCTTGTTGCACACACATGACTCATTTACAACATTGACCTTTTTACCAAAAGAAATTAATAATGTTGTGCGAAAGCTTTTCGTCAGCTTTACAAAATTTCATCTACGAAACTGCGGAATTTTATGTCAGCTGCGAGCGGGGCTCATAAATATGCGTTAAGCAAAAATTAAAGAACTTTAAAGTAAATATTGTTAATGCTTTAAAAACTTTAACGAGATTTTAAGCGAAGTTGATTGATGTAACGGAAAAACTGGGCCAGCTTAACTTGTTTAACAAACTTTAAGCTTGCACTTAATGAAAGTAATATATTTTTAAAATTATTTTAAAGCATCTGTCAAGCGTATTAAATTGCAAAATTGATCAGAAATTGCATTAATAAAATTTGCAAATGCTGAAAATAAATTAAAGCTGCGGGATATTATGGTAAACTTCAATCAACTTACTCTCATACGCGCACACATCATAATTGAGTTAATTAATTGGCTAACCGCGCCCATCTATTACCACCCACATGACTAATTACCCAAGCTTTAAGCCATTGAGCTGTCGGCATTGGTAAAAGTAAAGCACAAAATCGTTTGTTATATTTAATTAGTTATTCAGGGACTGGCAGCTACCGCACCCCAGCAGGTGAGCTCTTGTGGCATGCCCCAAATCTCGGTTGGCTCATATGTAATTCATGCATGACGCAAGCAGTCAAATCGCATTTCAAGTAAAATCAATTTTAAAGACAATTTAGTTTTGAATGCACAGTTGGCATGTGGCCCAGTTGGCAACTGCAACTGGCAACTGCGAGTGGCAAATGCGTCGATGAAGCGCGAATAAGCGGCATTTAAAAGTTCATTTTGCCGAGGTGCGTGCAACATCCAACAAGTTCTGCTGCTCGTATATCATTCAAGCCCCAGCTCGCCTCAACAGTTAAGACGTTGGCAACTATTATTGAACATGTCGTATGTAGCAAAAGGCGGCTGACCCAAAAGTTCTGCCAGTTCAGCCTTGTCTCGCGGTCTCAAAAACCATTACAATGAGCTATGAATCTTGCATAGTTTTTTGCATAAGTTGTCAGACATATCGAGAGACAGCTGGGCGTTCCAACAGAGGCAACAGGCCACCATACCATATGCCATCTACATATATATACACTACATATTAATCGAGTTGTTCGCACGCACAGTCGTTTGTTTACATGGCAAGCTACAACCACGACTTGCCAACATCATCATCATCATCATCGTAATGATCAACGTAATAATGAGTATAGTCCATGATATCCCAAGTTTCCTCGGCCCGTTATAAAACTGGTTTCAGTTTCAGCATCTTTTGCTTGCCCTTTTAACGTCAACGAAATCTTTTATACATATCTTTCCTCTCTTTATTTTTTGGGTATCTTATGGACTTACACTTCAAGGTCAATTGTCATCTGGTAACTGGCGCTGAACAAAACTGCCAACGACAATAAGAGCCAAGAAATATGTTTATCATAAAATGCAACTGCTTTGGGCTGTGTCTGGCCTTAATCGATGACAAGATTCATACGAAAAAAAAAAACACAACAAACAACACAACGACTGCATTTTATTGAAATTATTTAGCTGCAGTTCATAAATTTGGTTGTTGGGATTGTGAAATTTCGAAAAAGTGTATGCGTTGTGAAATGTTAAATCCCTGAACAAAGCTTAACGTATTCAGTTCCATTTACAGATCGCAAAAACCAACCCAGCAACAAATCAAACGAAATAAGAGTTAATGAAGCTCAAACAGACATTCTTTGTTAGTAACAAAAATTCTAGCAGTTCAATAAAAATACAAACAAAAAAGAACAAGTCTTACCAGCTCTAGACGATGGCCTTTTTTTTGGGTTTTTCCAGTTAATCCAGACTCTGATTTAATTAGCGCAGAATTTGTTTGTCAAATACAAATTTGTATTAAGGAATAGCGCTTATGAGTTCATTGATATCATCGAAAGTCAGAGCGGCTGACAAAGTGCAGTTAGACATTGTTTATAGAGTAGCACTCGCCAATATATATATAGAAATATATGTACTCGAACTGTTGGCACTCGCCTTAATTGTTGCATTTGAACAAAGGCTATTCAGACCTCTAATTAAAACAAGCCCAAGCTGACATCATGTTTGCTGGCCACATATTTTGAAACCTACGCAAACGCATATACTATATAGTTTTGGAGTTATTTATTATGCAAATAACTTTTACTTTCTTTAAGCGACTTTTGACATTTGCTCAGGCTACACACACATATATCAAATGCCTTTACGTATATCGTTTTCGTTTTTATTTAAACGAGAAAACCTCAATCTTAGCTTCACACACAGCCGTTTCTTCGTTTTGGCTTTAACTATTTGCGTTTTGTGGTTTTTTTTAATCGCTGACGAATATCAAAATCTAATTTGCATTTCTAGATTTTTTATTATAGATATATGTGCGATAACAAATTTTGCGGGCTTGCCTTTTATAAGCAATACTTTGGCTGATGAGCTAACAAAAGTTTATAGACGGAGACCTTTAAGAGCGCCTTTTAAATGCCATATTGAAAGTGAAGAAATTTGCGGCCATCAAAAGTGAATGTGAACTCAGAACAAAAGATTGCAAAAGTGAGCTAATCGTAGAAAGTGAAATGCATTAGTCGAACATAGTTCGACTAGGACAAATCAACGTCAGCTTAAGCACAATAAATCTAAGAAAATGCGTTTGCAATTACCAATAAACACACTTTACAGCTGTGAACGACTGTAAAAAGCCAACCGTCTATAGACCCAAATAGAGCCCATAAAACTAGCTCCCAGCCTATTTGGCATGCTAAGCACCTGGCTAGGCCGTCGACTTTTACAGTCACATAGAATGCTACCTTTGCAGATACAAATACAAAACACTTGCTCGGCTGCCAGGGCAAGCTTGATGCTACAGTCTATCTAAATGCGAAATCTGTAAGTGCAGCGCGCAAATACAAAAGACAAAAAGAAATTCCCGACATTTTAAAATTCCACTGTCAACTTCTGTTAGAGGAAATAAAAAACAAAACTCATGTTGCCACAGCGAATCGCAGATGCTCTTGAAAGACATTTAAGTTCATAATCTTATAAACAATACGAAATTAGAAACATCCTGTCCACTGACAGAAAATTAACAAACATTGGCGACGACTATTTGCTTTTGGGCAAGAAATAACTTCCTGTGCAAACTGTACATAAGTAACATGCGGCCAGGGCATTTGTGACAAGTCAGAGCGACGACCGCAAGCCAAACAAATTGGCCAACAAATTCCGCGTACGTGCCTGCAATCTTTGGCCAAGATGTGTCCATGGGTGAGCAAGAAATTGGCCCAGCAGACATTTGATGACGAACAGAGAAATCTTGATAAAAATAAATATATATGTAAAAAAAAGTGGGCACGCATAACCCCACAGACGCACAGCAGGTCAAGAAACTGTGGCACGTGACAGGTGACAAAAAAAAGGCGAACCCAAAATATTTGTCACCTACCTTGTCTAGGCTAAAGGTGTTACTGCTGCTGCTCATGATGATATCGCAGTGTGTTTTAGAGTGCCATTATGTCAGCTTCTTCAGGTATTTTGCTGACTACCTGTCATAAATTGTCAGCCTGCGTTTTATTAGACATGGCAACAGCTACCAATTGTTGATTTCATATGGAAAGGGAATGCACCTTTAAGCATTCAGGTCGTGCTCAATAGTGCGGTCTCCTGTCACGCCCCAGCTCAACTTCATTCAATTTAAGGCAACCGCAGTTACAAGTTTTCTTCTTTGCAATTATAACAATTAGCATAAGCCAGCGAAAAAGCTTAGAATTCTTAGAATGAATTTAGCGCAGTTTTTAATGAAGCATCAGATTGCCCTTGGAACAGTCGTGATGTGTCAAAAACTAAGCTAATAAATACATAATTATTATATGATCTCTATCATAGATTGTGCATCAAATAGAAATGTCCACTAACATTAGCCGGAACTGGGTTTTGGCATGCCTTCAATTTGGACAACAACGCAATTGCCAATTTGCATAAAATTCGAAAAAGAGCAACAACTAAATTACTCATTTTGAACAAATGCCCAAAAAAAAAAAACAATAATTGTAGCTAATTTAATGACTTTCATATAGAAAAAAAAGAAGAAACATTTACTGCGCTTTTGTTCGATACGCAAATTTATTTCGATGTGATTTTTTACTGTCAGGCCGCATTTTTGTCAGCTGACGCAAACTTAAAAACAAAAAGGAGGTACAAAATTGAAATCTCAGTAATTACAGTTTAGCAGCTGACCAAAATATACTACATAAACAGCCAGACGAAACGGCATACAAGTTGTTTATATATATTGAAAAACTAGGCGAGACTTGGCGCTGTGTCTAAAACCAACAAGACTTCGCCGGCGTTTGTTTGCATTTATGAAAAAATGCCGGTTATTAACGCATACTTTGTTGTATTTGCCTAACACCTGGAATAGTATAAACATATTTTTAAGAAAATACCCAAGTATAGTTACAGCTTGACCCGGACTTGAAGCTTAACCTGCAATACATGCCAATAATATATAAATATGTGCCTGGCAGCTTTGGCTGCAAATTAAGATTCGCAAATGTTATTTGATTTCTACAGACTGTGCCATAACCTCAGCCTTGGGTTTCATGCATTTCCAAGCAAACACGGCCTGAACTCAAATTTCGATTATTTATTTGCATTTCTCATCTACCAATTTTTAGCTAAGCGCTAAGTGTTAGTATGCACAGACGGGAATTTCAGTTTTGGCCATGACTCAAAACGGTAGCTGGGGGCCTATTAACGCATTACGATCGTAATAATATGATAATAATTACTTCATAAGATAGCTATGCAATTTTGTTTTATCAACATGTTGCTTGGACATCAATTAAGACTTATAATTAAGATAAATTGAAGTTTTGATAATACTGAATGCTTTATCATTAACAACTAATGTTTAGTTAAATGATTATTTATTTAATCTTAACTTTAAGCTTAACACTCACCATGCAAAAAACTGCACGCGCCATTTTGCAACGAACAATTGTAAATTGACACAAGAAACGCCAGTAATTATTTATTTATTTGCTTTTTTAACAAATTTTTGCAATTGAAAAATACTTTGTTCCAATCTTGAAATATATAAAGAAAATGAAGAAAAAGTTTTTAAAATATATTTTTATATATATTTAAGCACAATTATTTTCAGTTAAGCACACATGCAATTGTTGTCCTTGTGGTTGAGTACAGTTTATTTTTTCAATTTTTTTGAAATTCTTGATTCAGTTTAAGTTTGTGTTTGCACTGAATAAGTTGAAGATCACTGTATTTACTTGGGGGGAGGGAGCCTAACTAGAGCTCATACCGTGGTGACCGATGTGGACGAACTGAAGATGAACGCAGCTCGTCTTTGCCATATAAACAACGCAGATGAAAACAAAAAAAAAACGAAAAAAAAATATATAAAAAGACCAAGACCCAACCTGAGAGTAGCGCCCCCCCCCAATACAAATGAGTTTGGGAGCAGCTCCAGTGACAGTTGATTGTGTGTGTGTGTGCCTTGCTAAAATATGGTTTAAAGTGCGTGCCAGTGTGTGTATCTGTGTGTGTGTATGTGTGTGAGTGTGTGTGATTTGCGTAGCTCGAAACAAGTTTTGTTTCGTCGCATTGGTTAATTTATATGGGCAAGAGCAAAGATGAGCCTAACTAAGTTGCAGCTGAGCACGGATCGTATACTCAATAAAATGCTGCTACTCTCTCTCTCTCTCTCTCTTTCTCTCTCTCTCTCTGACGCGCGCGGAGCCTGACACGGACAACCCCTACTTAGCTAGAGCATGGACTTGCGTGTTTCAAGAATTCAGCTTCACTTTCAGGTTTTGTGCTTTATACAAAAAAAATATTAAAATTTTAAGATTTTTTCTTTTTTTTCATTTTTTGCCAAAGAATTTATATGTATATATATTCAAAAGTCTTTGTCTTTAATTGAAAATTCGGGTTTTTCGTGTTTATTTTGACTTAATTTTGAGCACTAATCGAAAACTGATCTATTGGCCATAGATAGCAGCCATATGAGGCGGTTGTTGTTGCTGTTTTTTGGCTCTGCCTCAGCCGGTTATCAGACAGACTATTTGAATATCAAATGAGTGCAGTATCTTAAAAATAGTTGGTTAGTTTTGTTGATTTAATTAATGCTTACATAATAGCGCCTTTTTTGTTTTGGGCATGCAGAATGCGATTTTTTGATTTCCGTATGAATTAATTGTTTTCGTCGTGCCATAATTAAAATAAATTGCCAGCCATAGATCAGAATATTTTCTTAGCCACGCATCGTGTTGTTCCTTTATTTTTTTAATTTTGTTGTGAACTCACACGGTAGCTAACGCTGAGATCATATGGGAAATTGATTAGCCGAATCTTAATACATTTGGCTTAATTGAGACACCTCATAGACGACATGCTTCCGTTTGATGATCCGCCTAAGAATTTAGAATTCTGTGAGTAGTTGCTGAGCTGCGGCTGACACTAAGCCAAAGCAAAGGCATTGCGTATACGACACGTAGTGCATGTGCGTTATTATTATTATTTCGGGTAAAAGGAAACAATTAGCTAAAGTTGATCGACTAGATGCGCTCATTTGTTGCTCTTGAAAACTGTAATTGACACACTTGCTAATAATAAGCTTCTGTCGTAAACAGGGTGAAATTAATGACAATGCTTAAGTCAAGGCAAAGTCAACCATCGCAGACAAAACAATTATAAAATTCAGATACATATGAACAATAAAAAAAGGTGTAAAAACGAGAAAATAAGGATACCTTCGCCACACCGAAGATTTAATACTCTTGTAAATATTTCGCTTTTGCAGAAATGTAAGAATAGTGCAACTCGAAAAGAGCCACTTTTGGACTGATCGTTCCTATGGGAGGTATATGATATAGCGGACCTATGCAAAGTTTTAAGACGATAGCTTTAAGATACTACACAGACAGACAACTCGCCTGTTGATGCTGACCTAAAATATTAATACTTAATGGGGTCGGATATATATCACACCTTTTACGACAAATTATAATACCCATTACAAGGGTATAAATATGAATCAATACACAGCTTGCAACTCCTTTGGCCCAGCAGAGGCAATCTGCACGGCTTACATTTTTTGGAATTAAATCGATATCTGTACGCAGCTTCCTCGTGGGCTGTGCATGATTATAAGGCCACAGTGACATCTGTTGTGCACTACACAAAAAATATTTAAATGAATTTTCAAAAATTAAACAAATGAGAAAGGGTAATCATGAGTCATACGAGTTGTTATTGCCTTAAAATTTATAACTTTTATTTCATTTCTTATTCACTTAGAAGTTGCTTAGCAAACAGCAATGCCCGAAATGAACAGCGTAGGGTTCACTTATTATTTTGCATTTAATATTTGATTTCTTTAAAATATCCGCCCATTTTTAAGCTAAAAATAAAATCTGACCAAGTATAAGGCCCTACTTATATATTAAAATATTGAGCTTCCAGCAAAGCTCAAGCTGTGCCTTAAAAATATTGAAAACAAAAGTGAAAAATTGAGTTTTATGTGTATTAAATGGATTCAACTTGTTTATATTTATATATACAATTGCATATGTAAATGCATTTTTGTCACTTTTTCATTGAAACAAAAATATGAGCCATGCGTATCGCTTAAGCAAATTTATTGAACATATTTTTTGGCATATTAATGTAATTTTTGTTGTGTGCAAAAAAAAGAATTAAATAATTCTTTTAAGTCTATAATTTAGCATAAATTTGGCGTGTACGTTTTTATTTTTGCAGCCCACGCGTTTGGTTTTGTTTTTTTACGAACAGAACGGAAAAAAATGTTGAAAATTTTGAAGACGACCTTTGATGAGAACAAAAAGCACCAAAATCAAAGCCGACAAACGAGTTAAATGTTTTTAATATATGCAACAACTAACAACATTGGAAATAAGTCTGACAAATATGTATCTGAACGTTGTATCGTTTTTAACACTCGGCCAATAGTTTGAGTTTATCACATATTTTATGCGTGCCAACCAAGTCAACAGGTCTTTAATGAAACGCAATTGCTGCGTTGAATTGGCGAACATTTTGCCAATCTGGCCAAATTTAGAAAGCCTGTAAATTGCAATTCCCCTTGACGAGTCGGAACTGTTTAAAATATCAAATGTCAATGCTTGGCCCAGACTTTAGCTGGGCATCAGACGGCTCTGACTCAAGCGAGTGACTGATCCGTTGCGTTTGGGCCCGGGCCTTTTACCACACACACAACTTCGTGAAGCTATCAATTTTAAATTTAAGGTAACCTGCCCCACATAGCCAGCCCCACAATTTGTAGGCATGAATCACCAGTTTCCTGTCCGCCTTTCTGCCTGTTACACAAGCCGACAGCATGCGTTGACCTTGTTACAGGCGGCATCCAGCTGCTGCCCCACAGAGCAACGCCGGTTGCATGCATCGCTGTTGAGGCGGATGCTTATGCAACCTTATCAGCGAAACATGAAAGCCTGGCAAAAGTTGAATGACTCTCTTGGCTACGTGGCCAGCTGAACTTGAGGAAGGGGTCGTCGCATGTCTAACCTTGGACCACAGCGACATTGCAGCCTGCGAAAAATAAATCAACCACAAAATGCCGCTTAAGGTTCTTGGCCTGCAGCAAGTCATGCGGGCCATTTCCCAGACATGGCATTTAATTTCCAAGAAAAACAGCATTATTCAAAGGCAATCCTTTAATGTCATGTGAAATAATCTGTTAAAATATGGAAAATGAAAGCCTTATTGGATTTTATCGTCTTCCAGTTGACATAATTTCTCAAAATCAGAACAGCGAAGCAAATGATGTCATTATGCTTCTTGTAGTTAATTAAAAATGCATTAGTCAAAGGCGAAGAGCGTGAATTAAAATCTAACTAAGCCTATGACGTGTGCTCATTACAACAGCTAACAATGGCAGCTAGTTTTGTGGGAATTTTTAAGAACTTCCCACTTCCCCCTCTCCCATATTTACACAACTCCAACTAAAATGCGTGTCTCTATATTTAGCCAATTAAAATTATGATAATGCTGAAACAAATGACAGAACTGTCAAAATGACAGCAAGCTGTTGGTATACGATATCTTATCAATGATATCAGAATTAAAACTTGTTTGCCAAAGCAGCTGGAGGTCTTCGGCCATATATCATCATAAATAGCAACAAATACAATAAAGATTTAAACAAATAGTTTGCATTCAAATTGCTTGTCTTTAATGATAAGCATAATTTATGTTTACAGTCTTTTTTTTTCGTTTTTGTTTTAAACAAGAGGAAATACAAGACATATTTCCGAAGAACTTTAATATAGTTTCTGTTGTCCGATTTGGAATTATGCATTGCGTTGACATGAAGGCTATTTAGGCGGCAAGAAACATGAACATTTGACAGTCAAACAAACTGCCAACTAAATGCAAAAAATTTCACCACCAACTTTGCAATCAATCAATCAATCAAAAAAGTCTTCAGAAGGCTGCAGTCAGTGTTTTTTTAATGCTAATGGTATTTTTCAGATATTGTTTTATATTTTTGTTTATTTTTTTTTTTCTCTGTGCCTAAAGGTCGTTTGCAGCCTGAGAAGTCGAGTATTTCCGTCTGAAAATTAGTTGACATTCGCTCTTATCAAATTTCGCTAATTTATTTAGCACATTAAATTAACTGATAAATCGAAAAAAAAAACTTGATTAATCAATTTTGCATTTATGCGATGAACCACTTGCTGTGGAATTAAGAATCTTTTCGAATATACATTTAATTACTTAATTGTCGTATTCGATTAAAACATATATCGAAGATTTGTTAGATTAGTCAGCCAATCAGTAAGATGTTATATGCTCTAATTGAGAAGACGTTTAGCTGAGCGACAGGGTTTGTCATTTGTTGGCATTTCATTTAGAGCTAGACTAGCAACTTTTTTAAACTATTTATTTAGCTATAAATATGTATAAATATTTATAGAATACTGGA